ACAAAAGGTCACTGCTAAAAAGGAGCTGGCTGCTCTTGTGCTGTTTCCAATTACATTAATAAAAAGGTGAGTGGGAGTAAAGTGTGTTTGAAAAAGTTGCACAAGTAACAATGATGACTCCGACCTTTAAAGGACTGTGAAGAAAAGCTGATTCCAGAATGTGGAGGAGATTTACGAGGCTCGACCCAAAATACTGCCAAACTAGCGACGTTACCTTTTGTCTTTGAAGCACAATGTCTTCCTCAGCTGCTGCACTCGTTTTCTCCTTCCACTCTAACCTCATTATTTTATATTTTTAAGCTGTCATGAAGCACTGCGGCCGCCACACACCTGTTAGCCCTGTTGGGGCGACAGTCACGCTACACATTCTTGTGACTGTTTGATACGAGCTCGGTGTAGAAACAGTTTGATGTAACACCGTTTGGCGCTGAACTGTTTCCTGTGTGAACCACAGAGTACGCGTCCGCCGTCGTAAATGTTTACCTTTGCGTGAACTTGTCCAGCGGACGACCACATTGTTCTACCTCTAGAACAAGAGGACGAGAATTATGACCGACTACGTCGGGAGTAATATGAAACTGCTGCTGCGCGCGTTACACAACAGGGTGTTGCTAGGTAACCAAAGAGTAAGTGAGTTAGTTGATGGACTGCAGTTTTTCTTAGCTAGCTGCAAGAATTTGAGCGGCTAAAGCCTTTCCCTCTGTCTACATCCCCCAGAATGCCGTGCGGTCCTGGATGGGAGTTCAGTGAAATTATGAAAATTCTTAGACATATTAGCTATTGATGTTAATCATGTGTCTTATCGCGATAGATAACTTCATAAACATCTTACTTGGGTTAAAGAGATGTCTAAAATCTTCTTTTCAGATGAAAGTTATTGTTTTGAGAGAGTAGAGAGGCACAGAATCCAAGATATTTCAGGTCCTGTGTGACATTTCCAGTCAGTGATGCAGCCGTGTCATCGGCTAGCAACAGCTAGCAACCAGTTGTAGAGCTCTTCATCGTGCTTCGTGCAAAGTTCATGTAGATGCTGGCTTTATTTTCCAGCAGGACTTTCCCTCGATGTACTGATGTCTACAGAATGACTAGAACTGATTGGTTGGAAACGGAACTCATTCAAAAGGAACCTAAAGCAAGTATTCAGCAAATATACAATATACTTTTAACTTTTAATTAACAACCACAAACTTGAATATAATCAGTTTAATTATTGGAAGTGAACTGTCGAAATAAATTCACTTTTCAATGCAAATCTATTGAGATTTACTGTAACATGTTTCACACACAGTAAAACAAACCACAGCCTTCTGAGGTCACCTTTGTATTCTTGAGCGTCACTGTTAGACGTTTTGACACCGTTAGGTCAAAGAAACCTACTTAAAAAGCCATTTTTGTAGAGTGTTAGGTGGACAAGATAAGCCATCCATCTTCATCATTTAGTCTATTGTAGGAAGCTGCAACAGAAATAGAGGCATTGAGTCAAATTACCTTTTTGTCCTTCAAAAGTAGGACAAACGTGACAAGCATTCGTAAAGCAGTCGTTTCTTTATTGGACAGTGTTCAAGGAGGGCAGCAATTAAATTCATCAATTTATTGTCAGTGCAGGAAGTTCCTCTCATCATCACTCTTCTATTTTAAAAAGGCTCCATCATTATAAATGCTTTTTTTTTTTTTACCTACTAACGTTGTCTAACTTCTTCTATGTCCTCATAAAGAGAGTCTTTTAATGAAATCTCTAGGTCAGCGGTAGCTACAGTTTTGGTCTTGTGGGCCAATTCTGCCAAAGTACTTCTGGGCCACACTTAAAGAAAATAAACATATCAAAATAATTGTGTGATTTCTTTTTTCAACTTGTTCAGCAGTTTATGAAACCTGCAGTACTTCAATGAAACAAAAAAATGGAGATGCATTTTGTAGGAAAATGTATCAGAACGTCACTTTAGAAAAAGGATGTCACAGGTCTGTTTTATGTCTTAATGTTTGAATTTTTATTTTGTCTCTTCTGGGGCTTCAAATGTTAGAAGTTTGTTTTGTAATCGATGGGACATAGAAAGTTTAAATGAAAAATAAGATGCATTTCCACACTTTTCTATTATTCTTTTTCTTCTGTTTTCTTCAACTCCTGTGTGTTTGGCGCCACCTTTCACACAGGAGGTTTACAGCGGCAGTGCGCTCATAAACATTTGACTGCAAAATGGTCAAATATACTTCTCAGAGACCCAGTAGTCAATTAAATAAGAGCAGCAGAGTAAAAGTTGTAAATCTGTAACCACAGGCAAAAGCTAATTATCAGGACCTGATTGTCCTCTGTAAAGAAATTCAGAGTGATAATAAAAGTCTTGGGGAAATTTATATCCCTTCTTCTTACATCATCACTGCGTTTCTCAGTTTCTCCCTTTGGGAACCAGAAAGGAAGTTTGTGTGATGTTAAGTGTAACGTGAAATGAATTTTAAGGTGGAATCTACTGTGTGGAAACCGGCAGAGTGTCTCCACGATTCTGTCAAATTATTTTGATTATTGCTTGCTTTCTATTTGCTGTTTTTATGGAAACATCTCTGCTTTTTCAGATTGCACTAAAGACGTTTTATTTTGCATCATGTGCTGCTGATGATTATGATAATGAACCAGGAAGCAACATCATGTTCACCGTAAAACAAAGAACAAATGAAAATCAAAACCCCCTGATTTAAGTCATTTACATCCATTTCATATTTTAATCTTATATTGTTAAAGATGTTGTTCATGTTGGCTACTTGTAAACTTTCTGTTGGGTCGAGACGAATAATGTTGGCAGAAAGGCAGGAAGGGGTTAATCTGTCAGTCCTTTCAGTTTCTTTTACTATCGTTTCTGAATAATAATAAATTAAATAATATGCATATTTTTGGAATATTTATTTTAAATTAAAATTGTTATTTTTTACATAGAAAATATCTAAATAATTTATATTCCTCTATATAAATCTTGCTACAACTTCAAAAAGGAATTCAGTGATTTTTTTCTTTTTTGCTCTTTACTGAGAAATTATTTAAAACAGTTCAGTGATGTAGTTGACGTGTCCTCATCTATTCATAAACTATGCAATTATTTTCTCAGATTGTTTTCTAGTAACTTTAACTTAAGACAGAGATGTCTGAACCTTTTGGCATGGGGGCCCAGAGATGTCAAGCTGAAAGTACTCCAGGGCCACAAAACTTTTAGTATCTTTCTTTTTAGCTATAATTTCAAATTTCTACTCTTTTACTTTTTACTTTTACCTGCCAAATAAACAACAAACTAAACACATAGTATTTTACACAGCAAAGCAGTTTAATGGTGCGTAAATTTCAACAAAAAACAAAACAAAACAAAACAAAACGCACAACTAAATATATTCCAAAATTTTCCAAGTTCTTCTAGATTTTCTTCCAAGCACATGAAGATGATTGACAGCACTAAGCCCCTCCTCCTGGCTCTGACTGGTTGTTTTTGGTCGTGAGCGGTACATTTCTTCAGACAGCTAACGGAGGATGCAGAGATTTTGTCAGATTATCTGCCCCGTAACAAACCGTCACAACATGGGGGCAGTTTTAATGTGTAAAAATCATATTCTTTATAAAAGTTGAATACTGCAGCTTTAAGTCTATTGATCAAAATAAATAATAACTACAGTTAAAATGCTGTAATGACTCAAACAGCCATGTCACAGAGATCTTTGATGTCTAAATAACTCTCCTGCTCTCTCTGCCTCACCTTCCCTTTGTTTTCTCACCTTGCCTCCTCCCTGCTCTCTTTCTGCCTGAACTTATCTGCCGTCCGCAGTGCTTTGCTCGATGCTCCGTGTCCTGACAGTTCCCGACTCTGCTGCCGGCGTTGACACTTTCTCTTTCTTTCTCTCGTTCTCTATCTCTTGCTTGAGGCCGTCCGTCAGCAGCGACGGTCAGGTTGAATTATCTTTTTTAGCTTGTTTGGCTCCAGACTGTTTGAAGCAAGTTTGTTCAGGAAGGTTTTCTGCAAGTCTAGCCCAGATTATGTCCGCAGCTTTGAGATGACTTTGAGAAATTCGCTGAATTCAAATGAGGCAGTGATGGTGGATTCCACTGAACCCTACCTGCTTGTTTTTTTTTTTTTATTCATGGACTAGGACAAAAAAATCATGATGCAGTTTTGATTCTGGACAAACTAAAGACTTCTGATTCACCCACACCAGCCCTGGTTAGTCTGCTTTAATTGAACTCAGGTTCATTTGACTAGAAAGTCCAGTTCGTTCGGGAGGTGTGAACTATGATGAGGACCAAAAAAACAAACTCTGGTCCGTCTAAAAACCCAGATCTCAGGTCAGTTCGTGTGAACGCCGGCGTGGTTGGAATGCATATGTGAACGCCAAGCAGACCAAGCAGACCGAAAACCCATACAAAAGCAAATACAACCAAAACAAACGTGAGAGTCTAACGCTAGTGGGAGAAACGGCTCGTAGTTTCTTACCAAAGGCAAAGACAATTTCAACAACTGCTAAACTCTGATGCTACTCTATTTTTGTTTACATTTTCTGAAGAAGGAAGTCAGTGTCTTCTACTGAGGTTTTTGTGTCATTTCTCCATCAGTAGTTCTTGGTACAGTGCCCCCACAGGCGAGGAAGGGAACAGGTTTTTCAAAGGGTTTGTTTCATTTGACACAGAACATGAAAGAGAATCACAGCAGCTGAAAACGTTACAAATGTTGCAATTTTGGTCCTCAGTTAGATTTAACTGAATAAAATCTACTGGACTATCAGGTGTGAAAACACCTCCTTTGATTTTTGATTTTAGAATCCAAACTCTAAAAGCTTCAGAGTTTTTTCTTTCTCCCCAACAAAAAAATTTGTTCCAATTCAGCTAAGGCCAGACCGTAGAAACTCCCTCCCCATCATGTTTATTTTCTGAAACAGGGAGTTCTCAGAAAAAGTGTGAGATCTGACCTTTTCGTAAGTCTGATTAGGTTTGATTGGATCAGATTTTTTATTTTTTTTCCTGGTGCGCTCACCCACTGAAATGGTCCAGACCGCCATGATCTTGATGCGTGCCTTGGTGTGGGAGTTGAAGCGGCTGTGGTGGATGGGGTTCCTTATGGCGATGTAGCGGTCCAGCGAAATGGCGCAGAGATGCATGATGGACGCCGTGGAGAACAGGACGTCCAGGTAGATCCAGATCGGACAGAGTTCGGAGGGAAGGGGCCACTTGTAATCTGCAGAGGAGGGACGGGAAAAACAAAAGCTGCTGAACATCTGTGGTATGCTACAGGAATATCTGGAAGAAAATCATGCATGAATAAGTGCTTTGGTAATGAGCCAATCAAATGTAACCGAATTCTTCCAAATCTTTGACAAACTGTGAACATGACACTGTGAGGGGATGGCCTACACATCTGCTCCTAAACACACACACTCACACACACTCGTGGCTGCTTCTATAGCAGGCGTCACCATAGATGTTGTTGCTGAGACCATTCAGCTGCTGATACAATACTGAATACTGAATGTGACACGTTTTCAAAGTAAACACATCATGGGGAATCTATTTTTAGGGACCAGGTCTAAAACGGTCATTCAAGCTGCGTAGCACAGGGACTGGATATGGAAAGGTGTTGCAAAGAAAAGACAATAGAAGAAGAAAAACACTTTATCATTATTTAAAGTTTAGATCAAATTATTTGTAGTTCTTCCACATCAACATCCAAGTTTAAAAGCAGTCAGGTGAGCTGAACTGCTTTGTTTCCACCACTTGCACAAAACCTGAATGAAGGTTTTGATTTATTTGTTCCAACAGTGAATTTCAGCTCCAGCTTCTTTCAGTTAGCGCTCAACAATAAATCAATAACAATAAATATTGCCATAAATAATGACAATAGATATTACGCATGATGTAATGTTCAATAATTTCCCAGAACTCTGATCCAAAACTGCTCGGCATTCTGGGGGATGTAGGCAGAGGAAAGGCTTTAGCTGCTCAAACTCTAACAGCTAGCTAGCTAAACGAGTCTGGTAGCATCTACTAACTCACTCATTCTGGTTACCTAGCAACAACCTGGTGAGTAACTTGCGCAGCGACAGTTTCATGTTTCACCAATGTGCCTCGTAACGGCCTAAAAATAAAAAAACAGCAACATGGAGTGAAAACTTTCTTACACAGAATGTCGAACGGGACTCATATGTTACGTTTCTGTTTTTTTTCTTTCAAATTTCTGACAAGTATTTTCAGGACACTAATTATTGTATCACCTGACCTTGTATTGAAAATTATTCTCTTTTATTTTTTTTGCTTTCCAAAAAATATAGAACCTTAAAACCATCAATGTTTTATCAATATTATAATAACATTATTTTTCATCTTCAGACAGATTTCCAACTAAGATTACAGAAATAAAAAAACATTCAATCACATTTTGAATTGGATTTTAACAAGAACTTCAATGCACATTTTCTAACTGAGATGTTAATAATTATTGTTTTAAGAAATGAGGTCATGTTAGCCACCCGGACACGATTTTTAGTATCAAAATTTTAAATAAAATCTTTCTTTTCATTGGAGGTGTTTTTTTGTGTGTGTGTGTGTGTGTGTGTGGATGAGATGGTATGTTCAGACAGAAGTAATTCAGGGGATCAGACCCAGATCATCATGAACGTCTCTGACTTCCAGGTCATGGAGGACTGTTTGCGTTCCCTCTGTGGTTCCCCAAACCGACAGGTGAGAGACGACCCGACGCTGGCCCTCATTATTGGGGAGGAGATGACTCATCCACGCAGCTCCACGTCGCCATAGTCACCGCCAGTCTCTCTACGATCTCCTCCTCATCATCGTCATTGTTGCTGTTCTGCTCTATCTTGCTTTTTTTCCCCTGTTTTTGTAAGATGATTGTTTTTTATATTATTATTTTCTCGACTTGTCGTCATTCTCAAACATGTCCATCACAGTTATTCTTCCTCTCCATTTTATTCTTTTCTGTCTCAGATTCTGTTTGGATGTCATTGTGAAATCGGACTACTTCCCTAATTTCACTCATTTTGTTTTTTCTCTGCTTTGCAGGCGGCCATATTTTGGTCATTTCCATAACAAATGAAAAAAAATTACATTATAAAACCCTTTCTTAAATACAGAACCAAGTCAGTGTGATACATTCATGTTACTGAGATGAAACTTTAGTTACTGAATCTAAATAATACAATAGTTCTTAAATGCCTATTGTATTATTGTTTATTGTGTGGCATAATAGAGTCAGATGTTATATTTAATGACTCAGCAGAGTGTCGTTTTGTCATAAGTCATTATGTTGTGAGTCCCAAAACTCTACCACATCGAAAATGTTCCACTTTTGGAAATATTCTGAGTCAAAAATGTTTTACTTTTGACAACTTAAAAAAAAATTTCTAAAAAATTTCTGTGGTTAATCTAAAAACTCCCATGTCTAGAGCTGATCGATGTTATTGACCAACTGACAATTAGTTGAGAAGCAGCAATTTTCTTAAAAACCTGAGCTACCTCTTACATCAACAGGGTTGACCGCTGCAAAAACTGCTGTTTGTCTTTCCCGATCTAGTATGGCTCCCCCATCTTTGTTTCTGTATCAACTTAATCTGCTTAAGGATGACCAGCAGTGCCCTCTTCTGGGTGGAGGCCAAACTACAACACTGAAAGAAGGTCTAAGAAGATATTAATCGATTGGAACTAATTTTAGTCTAATTAATTAATCAACAATTGATCATAAGTCGATTAATTGCTAGCAACAATAAAGTGAATCTGAAGAAAAATTCACGCAGAGGAGTCCAAAACGTTATAAGGTGGATAAGAACTGACTAATTTAAATGTGTATTTGCAATTTTTGATAAGATCACAAGGAAACAAACTGTTCCTATTTGGAAACATTAATTTGTGGTGGAAGCTGCATAGCTATAAAAGTCTGAATGAAATCTGCAGACTTATTTCAGTTATCTGCCTCGTGTTTGCTCAGTTTTCCATTTCCATCTGAATAAGAGGAGAGACGCTCCTCAGTGGCCGACCTGCCATTCTCACTTCCCAACAAAGACTCAGGAGGAAACACAATTCCCCCCTCAGGGACTGATAGTATCACATTATTACAGGCTCCGCAGTCTCTGACGGCCATGACCCAGATCTATCGTGATTTATCCCCCACAAGGAGATTTCCTTCACATGCAATCCAGAAAGTCCCGGTAAAGTCCCTGCAGACCCGTTGGGACACGACCCTTTGCTCCCGATGGCCGTCAGCCGTCCTCCAGATTCTGCGGCTCCGGCTCAACCTATCCTGGCGTTGTCACCTCTGCCTCGCTCGTCTGCAGAGAGCCACCGGGAGTTTCCTCGGTGTGCGGCGCTGCGGCCACAGCGTTACTACTGCCAGCCTCACATTGAGCCTCACATACTGCCTACACAGTGGCAGCTGCACAAGAGGTCCATGAGAAGAAAGTGGGATTTTCTCTGCTTTAGGTGACACAGCTCTGCTTCTGACAGTGTATGTGTCACAGATAGCATAATTTAACAAGATGCTATAATCAGGACACTGACATGGTGACTTTAGGTGGTGGAGTTACATCATTTTGATCTTATTTTATTCCAAAGAACAAGAGTGGATTTAACTGCACTGGTTGCCAGATCATCATTGGCTGTTTTTTTTTCTCCAACTTGGCAACTTTATTGCTATTTTTAGCGAGTGGTCAGACTCATCTAGCCTCTCCTCCCTATTGTGAGACACTAGTTGTGTTTCCACTGACCAAATAATTGCGCAGAATGGAAATATGAAAATAACTTTCCTTAACAAACTGTCATGACATGGTGACAGTTTTAACAAACATGTAAAAAAACAACAACAAAAAAAACTATTTTTTATAACAGTTACTTAGTGCACCTTTAAAGCCAGTATAATATAGATGAATTGAGAACAGACGCATGTAAAAGATTACAGTGGTCATCGCAAATGTTTAATGGCAGTTGTTGTAGCCATAAGTGATATAATCTGTTAGTTTTAAAAGTCTTAAACATTTACATGTGATAAAAAAGAGAAAAATCTTCACACCTATCAACTGTCTCTCAGTTGCAGATGCAGCCAGTGTAATAAATGCTTGTTGACTGACACTTTCTTCTGTTTTTTCTTTTACCATTTATTGGATGAAGCAGACGTCAGACGTCCACAGTGGAAGTGCAGGATGATTGTGTTTTCATTGTGTAACCCTCAGGGCGAACAGTGAATCAGACATCTTGAGTATTTGATGCGGCTGGAGAAAAGAACGGACGGCGGCTAGCAGAGCGCAGGGCATCGATTTGCAAATGGACAGAGGCATAAAGAGATTCGATCACTTGAAAAGTCTCTCAGGGAGGTTAAATCTGGGTGACTGCACCATCTGAAAGCTGCAGGCTGTTAATCAAAAGCTTTTATGTGGCATAACGAACAGTGACATAACAGCTGTCATGTTAGGAGCCTGAAGACGGTTCGACAGAGAAAATCAGCTCTACAGATTCAGTTTTTCCACACACTCAGCTCTGCATTCACCAGATAGCTCATTATTACACCCGAATGGATTTATTTTGAATGAACTGCTTCGTTTTCCATAAATCTCACCCTGCGTATGAGCCAAATAACGGTTCATCAGGATCTTCACACATGGAAAAACTGAACCCATTAATTCTTTTTTTAAGGTTCCGGAAACAAAACAAAGATGAGGACAGAGTCTGACCGGAGACGCAACAACGTCCGTTTTTTGTGGTGGTGCAAAAGAAGCATTAAAATGTTGAGTGTGAAGCATAAATGTTTTAACGTTGTTCCTTTACTGTTCTAAATGGAACAACAGGGACATTATTCAATCAGAAATGAACAACACGTCGTCCTCTAATGTACTGCTGGTGTGATGCGATTACCTAACTTTGAAAGGAAATCTGCCCTCCAACTCACTCCTGTTTACTGATTTAGCTTAGTCTTTGAAACCAAACTAAAATGTCAAACTAGAATGTTGGTTAAAAGTCTCATGTATAAAACATCATTTCCTGAGCTGATGTGTTTCAGCAGCAAAACGCACTGATTATATTAACCTAAACATGCACTAACTATACTCTTGTTGGACATTCTTTAAAGGAAAAACATATTTTAAGTTGCACAATATGCAAACATGCCTACAGGCAGCAGACTGTTGTGGTGCCTTGGTCCAGAATCCAGTTGTTTCAGCATAATTTACTGAATCTCCT